GACGACGGCCGCGGCCGCCGCGGCCGCGCGCGCGCGCGGCGTACCGGCGGCCGTGCGCTCAAGATAGTTGTCGTACACGCCGGCCAGGCGGCGCCTGCGCGCCGGCTCGGCGTCGGTGACGTTGCAGACGGTGTCGCCGACGGCGGTCTGGAACTTGAAGAGCTGCTCGGGGGACACCTTGACGGGCGTGGTCAGCAGGTGCCACAGCACGCCCTCGGTGCAGGGCGGGGTGGTCAGGGAGCCGCTGCGTTTTTTGGCAGAGGCAGGGGTGCTCACGCGCGTGAATCGGGGTTCCAGGAACCGGCAGGGAAATGACAGAATAAGACGGGAAACATGCATAGAAGGTGGAGGCAGGTGTAATAACCCAGCTGATGTCGTGCAATCAGTGGCGCTGCGGGGGACAATGAGTCAATCACTCATAAGTCATATTGCTAAAGTTCACGCACGCGTATGTAATATAGGTGTGGTCCGTCGGCAGCAGGTTTGACAGGTCCAGGGTGGTCGCCGACAGCGTGGCGTTGGTCTGGGTAACAGATACGATTCATGCAGGTGGGGTGAGCGTACCCAACCTTAGAAGAGAGGCGCTCGCATCTGGTGCATGCGGATGGCAGCACTGCTGCTGCGCTGACAGCCCCAGCACCCCCCCCCCCCGACACAAGCACTTCGCTTCCGCCATCAGCATCTGCAATTGCGTTTCGACACTGCCGGCATGACAGAACACCACAGACCAGATTCTGAGAGTCCGGCAAAGCTGCTGGGACGCTGCAGATCAACCAAAATGCAGCTGCAGGCCCCACAAGAAGCCCTCAAGGGAAACGGACAGGCGGCGCAGCGCTTACGTCCTCGTTGTCTGTGGCGCTGTCAAAGATCTTCTGGAGCTCCGTGATGCTGGCGGTCTCCTCCCCCTCCTCGGCCAGCTCAAACAGGACACCCACCACCGCCAGGCAGCCGGGGGACGCGGGGCAGCCGGAGACGGAAGTCTGGGAGACGGCGTTGACGATGTGCATCTCCAGGGGGTATGAGACACCTGGGGGTGATCAGCACGATGGCATTGGGGTGTGTGCACGCCCTTTTTGGGTATTGAATAGTGCAAGGTCAGAGTGGCAAGTGCACATCCAAGAGCAGCCCCAAACCAGGAGTTGCAGGAGCAAGCCGCTCCAGGAGCGCTCTTCATAACATGTGTCGCATGTGCTAACGCACGACGGGCGGAAGTCACAGGGAGCCGGGGCGAGCGCGGCGCATGCGGCAGGTCTGAATTCCTGACTTAGCCCTCAGAACCACTGACAGGGGAGTCAGCCGTTGCATGCACGTCGCATGCAAAAAGGGCGCGGCGCGCGGCGCACCTCCGACCAGGTGCTCGGAGCGGGTGTGGAAGTGCAGCTGCAGCGGCTTCATGGGAACACGCGTCAGGGCGGCGCCCGTGGCGCGCGCGACGTTCTGGCTGATGAGCGGCTTGGTGGCGTTCAAGTCGCCTGGGGCAGGGGGGTGGGGGGCGCAGCGGGTGGGCAGCTGAGTTTGGGAAGAGGCGACGTAGATACAGGAACTTCAGTGCTCCGGCGCCGGCATGTGAGGCGAGCGGCTGTAGACGGGCTGTTGGATCCAGGTTGATGCTGAGGGCAATAACCAAACCGAGGGCACGCAGCCAGCGCCGCCAAGCCCTGCCACTGCCCTTGTCTTAGTCTGCATGCAAGATCATCCCATTGGGGCTGCCCAGGTGAACCCAAGGCAACCCCAAGCCTGCGCGTGGCGCCGGCGGAAACGGCTGCGGCGGCAGCGGCGGCGGTGGCGGCGCACCGACAACGACGACAGACGCGTTGGAGGGCGCGAAGCCGGCGGGGATCAGGAGCTGCACCGTGTGGCCGTTGTTGACGACGGTGCCCGTGTTGGCGCTCTGGACGGTGCCATATTGGAAGACGCTCTGCTCGGCGGCCGGCACGCGTGCAAGGGCTGCGGGGTGCGAAGGCGGGCGGCGTGTTGGATGGGGTAGCAGCTGATGGGGCACGCAGGTCGGACCTGCCGGCCGCGAAAATCGCTGAAAGGTAGGCGTTGCGGGCAGATCATGCGCATGCGGATGGAGCACATGCCGCGTGCTGCCACGCGGTTTGCACGCGCAGCCACCGCGGGCCGCGCGCGCGCGCGCCCCGGACTGGCGCGGGGGGGGGGGGTGGTGGCGGGGGTGGCGCACCCGTGTCGCGGGGCACGTTGATTGGGCTTTGCATGGAGCCCTGGCAGACCGGGTAGTCTTCGAGGGTAGTCCAGTCGCGGCCGGCGTACACGTACGTGAAGTGGGCGGGCTGCGCATGGGACGGGCCGTCGCAGGGGCGTGCGCATGCGAGCGAGGGGCGGGGGGCGAACGTTCGGGGTCACGTGCCACAGTGTCGAGCGCTCGGACTGCCCAAAGTTGACCGGTTTGCCAGCGCGCGGTGAGGGCGTCGGGGCACGCTACCAGAGCGTGGTTCCAGCATCGAAGCAAGTTGCTCTTGTTGTGGACTGGCAGGCCGCACCGTGTCACGGTCGCCATAAGTGATAAGCTCCGACGCGGCAGCTGCTGCAATGAAGCAAGCGCACAGCGCCGTGGCCAGTGCACGCCGTGCACCACCGCGGCGGCTGTTCGTGCTGATCATCGTCATAGGTCGACGCTGGAGCCGTAAGAAGTCCCTTCGGCTGTGCCTCGTCGGGAGTCAACGTCAAATCGACCGTGGGCAGATCAGATCGGGAGCAGGTGATTTATGTATGTATTCAAGGATGCCGTATCAACGGCATTTCGATGAATCCTTGATGATCCTGATCAAATCGAGGAGGGTTGTTTGGCGCTCGTTCGCACCGCAGCGGCTTCAAGTCTGTCACCGAAGCATTTTTCGCAATGTTGGCTTGCGTTTGCGGATTCAAGACAATTGAACATCATCTAGCTTCAATCTAAGGCGTATACGGTAGGACGGCGACAGCAGCGAGGCGCGGGTAAGCGGCCGCATCCAGCAGGGACCCCTGGAGCGGGTGACTTGAGGTGGGTGAGATCAGATGATTTGAAAGAAACAGCGAGGCAAACCTGGGCGGCTCGTGAACGGACAAGACGGACCTGGAGGACGTGCCCACGACGCACCGCAGGAACCTGCAGAGCATTGTCCCCGGAGTGTGTATCTGGTCGGCCTAAATAGATGCCTTAGATTCAGAGTAACCGTATGAGCGGGGCAGTCGCAGTGAGCCCGTGTCACGCCAGCGCCGGGCTGCACGCGCTGCGATGCGGCACCCGCCCCAACTGCCTCCCTCGCTGACCGACGCGCGCACACGGCAGGCGGCCCGTTCCCGCCGCGCTCCCGCCAACGGACTGGTGCCGACGACGATCACCACCGGCGGCGGCGGGAATGGCGGGCCCGGCGGCGGCGGCGGTGGCGATGGTGCTGGCGGTGTTAGTCTCCGCGAGCGGCGCCGCACACGCGTCTGCCGCGTATGAGCTGCGGCTGGCCAACACGAGCGCCATCCCCTTCCACCTACTAGACAACCCCTTTAAGGGCGGCCGCGCGCTACTGGCAGATCCCAAGGAGCAGTGGGAGGAGTGGGAGCGGATAGGGAGGTACAGCCAGATCGCCAACCCCCAAATGCCCGGTGAGCGCGCCTCCATGCGCCCCCGCGGCCGGCAGCCGGCGGCCGGCAGCCGCCAGATGGCGCACTGCAGCTGCTGTTTGATCCTTCAGACCTGTGGGAGTGGCCTGTGCGGCTCGCGTCAGACCCATAGCCTCCATATTGTGAACACAACGGCTGTGGGGCGTGCATGCTGTGGGCGGGCCCCCCTCAAACAGGGTGCACGGACTGCCCTGCTGCGGACTGCCGTGCTGCGGGCTGCACTGCCCTCACCCGCCTCCCACCCCGTGCCACCACGCCCGCCGCCCCCGCGGCGCAGACAAGCACAGCAGCACGGGGCAGGTGGCGATCCACTCGGTGCTGCTGCCGCAGTCGTATAAGATCCTGGTTTTTGGCAGGAACCTGCCGCTCAGCGGGCCCAAGTCCAAGCCGGAGCCGGGGGTCGGCGGCAACGTGTCCACCGTTTACGACGTGAAGGTGGGCCGCGGGTTACGCGGTGACCCAGTTTGATGACATCACTGCGGATGCCCGCCGCAAGACCGCGGCGGCCTGGCCCCGGCCGGCAGCGGCCGCGCTGGCGGCGCCGGTGGCGGGGCCGCCAGGAGCGGACGGGCTCTGTGGTTCCCTGTGACGGCGACTGCGGGGGTCGTGCCGGACGGCCTTTGGCAGCTCGCAGCAGCGGCCGGCAGCGCCGCATACAGCTGGATGTCAGACCAGGGTGCCCAAACGACAGCCAGTGCAAAATCATGCAACACGGGCTCCTGGCTGCAAGCTTGCAAAGTAATAGCCCCATACATGCAAGTCTGGTGCTGAAAGAGTCCCCACAAGATCCAGGCAGGGTAGCTGCGGAGTCTCATACCTTATCCTAATTTATACCGTATGCATGCCGCCGCCTTCTGTCCCACGCCTGCCCACCCCAGACGGGCACGTACGTGGTGACGCCCAACTACGAGACCCTGTTCTGCGCCGGCCACACCATCGCGAGCGACGGCATGGTGGTCGCCGCCGGCGGCGACATGGGTGAGGGGGGCCCGGGGTCTCTCCTCGGCAGCCGTTTCTGGGGCCCGTCGTGCGTGCCGCCGCCAGCCGGCTCAACGGCCGGACGGGCAGCCTCACTTGCCCTGCTGATTTCATTGAACGCACGGCTGCAGGACGCGTAGGCGCCAAGGCCGCGCCCGCCTCAAGTCCGGCCTGCCTGGTCGTGCAGGGCACCCCGCCCACGCCGGCGGCCAAGACCCAACCAACCTCTGCTCAACCCCTCACCCCCGCTCGCCCGGCCGCGTGCCTGTCCGCTCGACGCTCGACGCGCCAGGCGTGATTGGCGGCAAGAACCGGTACAATTTCATGAAGGAGGGGCGCGACGTGGTGCGGCTGTTTGACCGGAAGACCCTCAAGTGGACCACGCTGCCGGGGGTGAAGCTTTCGGAGTACCGCTGGTACCCGACACAGGTGAATGGGGCGGTGTGTTGTGGTACGTGTCCGCAGACTGTGTGTGTGTTTGTGTGTGTACGGAGCATGCAGGCAGGTGTGCACGCATAAGCGCAGTCGTGTATATGCATGTGTGTTGTGTGCGTGTGTGTGGGGGGGGGTTGGGGGGGTGTGGGTGTGTGTAGGGGGTGTTTGAATGTGCAACCAAGCCAAGCTCGCACTTTCATGACTTCCTGTGGCGCGCTCTGCAACCAGCACCCATGTTGCTTTTCTCTCGCTTGTGTGTCGTGCGCAGCCGTCGACTCCAACCCCCCACCTGCTGGCCCCCATCATCGCCACATCCCCCTCCCACCCCCACCCTCCCAGGTCGTTCTGCCTGATGACCGGGTCATCATAGTCAGCGGCTTCCTGGACGACCCCGGGCGGCCGACAGGCAAGCCCGCGCCATCCATCGACATATTCGACTACAAGACCAAGCGGTGGGCGCCGCAGCGCAGCAACGCCGCACCCGCCCCTGCACGCGCCTGCGCGGCGCCGCAGCCCCCGCCCCGGCGCCCCGCCCGCGCGGCACCCGCCCCGGCTCGCATCCCGCTCGGCTCGCGTCCCGTCATGGCGGCGCAGGTCGCCGTGCGGCGGTGTCGTCGCGTGCCTCTGCCGCTTCCTCCTGGTCAAATGGTCTGACGTGCTGCACCCCACCTCGTACCGCTGCGGCTGCTGCGCTGTACCGCCAGGATCACCGTGCGCAAGTCGCGGTACGACCTGGGCAAGAAGTTCTTCACCAACATCACGCCCGGCTACCAGCTCTACCCCACTGTCCTGCTGCTGCCCTGGACAGACCCAGACGCGCCGGGTGAGCGAGGGTGCAAAACTCGCAACGGCATGCGCCCATCGCAAGCGGGCCCGATGGCGGCGGCCTGCGCGGCTGAGGGCTTGGTGGGGCCGGCGGGTCTGCTTCGGAACTACAAGAGAGTGGTGTTTGACGGATTCAGATCTGCAGTTGGGCCGCAAAGCGTGTTCGTGAACATGGCCGGCAAGTCGCCATGATCCGCGCCCGGCAGCCCCGGCCAGTCGCCCTGGGTCTTACCCACACCAGTCACGCCTTTGCTGCCGCCCGACCCCTTGCTCTTGTTACACGTTCCTGCCTCACATCTCCCCTCGCCCCCCATCCTTCGGCAGACGACCACTTCTTGCTGATGTACACGTGCCGCACCGGCCAGATCGTGAGGTTGACTAAGGACAATCAGTTCCTGCCGTTGTGGAACTTCCCAGGCCTTGAGCCTCAGGTGCGGGAGGGAGGGGCGTTTAGTGAACTGCTTACAGACGTGCAGCGCCAAAGGCACTGGACGGAAACGCGCCGCAGCAACGGGTGCGGTTTCTTAGCTGCCGACGGGCAAAGTATTGCTAGGGATGCCTTGTCAGGCAGGGCTCGCCTTGCGCTTTGTCGCTCTCGGCCGGCAAAGCACGCACGCGTCGCCGGCGCCTCTGTGCAGGGCATGTGCGCGGCGTTCAGCGCGATGGGGTCATCCGTGCTGATGCCCTTCCGCCCCGAGCGCGACTACGAGGTCGAGTTCGCCATGTTTGGAGGCGGCACCCAGGGCAAAGGACGTGAGCCGCCTGCGTCGGCCTGCAGTTTTCAAGCAGCACGCGTGGCCCTGCAATAATTCGTGCGTGCGCGTGTTCCCTGCGTTTGCTGCCGCCGGCCCAATCACATTGGGCGGCCGTTCCTCGCGCCTCGAAGGCCTGCCGCCCTCTCCTGCTGCCTGCCCTTTCGCCCTTTCCCCAGTCGACTGCAAGGGCATCTGCAACGAGCCGGCCAGCAAATACATTTTCCGCATGAAGCTGCCGACGGTGAAGCAGGCCCTGGCCGGCGAGTGGCCCAAGTACTGGGCCTTCACCGGCGCGAAGCAGTACGAGGAGATGCCCTGGCCGTGAGTGGCCGCGCCACGCGCAACGGTTCCGGGGTTGTGCGGGGGACGAGTTCTTTGATCAAGTGGCATCCTGCAGCACGCGCACCGCCAGGCCGCAGCGGGACGCTGTCGCTGCCTGTCTCATGGGTCCTCACACCAAAATTGGACACACCCGCACACCCTCTCACACCCGCACACCCTCTCCCTGCCTCCTGTCTGCATCCTCATTTTCACAACCCTCTGAGAGGACACCACCCCTTCATCACCCAAAACCTCAATTCCCCTCACAGCCGCGTGTTTGCGGACGCTGTCCTGCTGCCCAACGGCAAGATCCTCGTGTGCAACGGCGCCCAGCGCGGCGTCCCCGGCGGCACCATCGACGGCGGCAGCACCGCCAAGCAGGGCGCGTACACGGCGCTGCTGTACGACCCGGACAAGCCGGCCGGGAAGCGCATCACGACGCTCGCGACCAGCAAGATCCACAGGCGAGGCAGCGCGGCGGGGCGCCTGGGAAACGCGAAAAGTTCCAAGGGCGATGGGCCGGAAGCGCAGCCGAATTGCGGTCTATGCGGCGATCGCAGCGCTGCTGTCGCGTGCGTGCTTGTTACTCATAAACACGACAAGCTGCTGATGGCCGCTCCCTCTCCTGCATCCGGGACCGTCGTCGTTGCAGGTTTTACCACTCCAACGCAATCCTGCTGGCCAGCGGGGACGTCTGGATTGCTGGCAGCGAGCAGGGTAAGGCGCCGGCGTTGCACTGCCCCGCTCCTCCCTCCACCCTCCCTCTCGCCCGTTTGTCGGCTGTTTTGTGGTCTCACTCCCCGGCCCTCCTGCCCATCCTCCGCCTCTCTAGTCACCTATAACCTCCCTGTATCATTGCTTCACTCCCTTTCAAGCAACCACCCGTCACTCGGCGTGCTCGTCCCTCTTGCTGCTTGTTCAACCTGGGCGCCAACCCTCACAACCCACGCGACCATGCGGCAATATCGGCTCACTGTTAACCCTCACAACTGCCTTTCTCCCCAGGCGAGTGTGTCGACAACTGCAAGGAGGGCGGCCTGGCGCCGGCGGGCCAGGAGTACCGCGCCGAGTTGCTGCAGCTGCCCTACGCCTTCGTGGACCGGCCCGTCATCACCTCTGTCTCCAAGGAGAACGTCAAGTGGGTGGCGCGGGTTCCGGGGCGCGGCTTCCGGTGGTCGCTGGGGTCGAGGGTGTGGGGGTGGGTGCGCACCGCGCCTGGTTGGGGCCCTTTGCGTCGGCCTGGGCTTCCAGGGTCCCTGCGGCATTTGGGCGGCTTGGGGCGTGGGTTGGCGGTGAGAGCGGCTCAGTGTGTGTTTGCTCAGTGGCTCTTGATTTGTTGAACATCAGCCATCCCAACTCTGGCCCCATCCAGAGTCCACTCATCAATGTTTGACCCCCACTGTGTTCAGGTATGGCGAGAAGATCACGATCGGCTACAAGCACGGCAAGGCGGTCACCGCCGCCACCATCACCCCGCCCAGTGCCAACACGCACTCCACCAACATGATGCAGGTGGGTCGCACGGGCCCCACGAGTAACCCGTCCTTTAGCAAATCTCATGGGGCCGGCTGCGTGTGGGGCAGCCGCGCCGCATTGGCATGCGATAGCAAGGGGCCACCTACCAAGCAGGCGCCGGGCATGGCCTGCCATGTCACAAGCGCAGCACGCCCCTTGCCAGCAGAGGGACGGTCAAACGGCTCTGGGTCCGTCGGCGACCACGCATCTTCACTCCCGCTTCTCTTCACTTTGGTTTCACGCGTCGACCCTCTTCGATCCCAATCCCCAGCGCGTCATCTTTTTGAAGACGAGCGGCGTCACCCCAGACAGCATCACAGTGGAGCTGCCCTCTCTGAAGAGCCGCGTCGCCAACCCCGGCTACTACATGCTCTGGATTCTCGAGGGCGACGTGCCCGCCAAGGAGGCCCGGTGGATCAAGCTGGGGTGATCTGCAGATCTCGTGATCTGGACCCGGTGATCTCGCGGCGGACCCGCCCCGCCGAACTCGGCGGGCGGG